TGGGTACCTACGTACCTACGTTAAAAAATGTAATGACATAATGAAATCGTAACTATGGTTATATTGCTGTATGAATTTGCCTCAATCGAACGATATAAACTTCTGCATACAATAACAGCAAAATTGAACGACTCGATAATGGACCGGCAATAGAGAACACAAAACAAAGATGGCGATGGCATGTGCATTCTTTCATTCCACTAGATACATTATGGATATCCATTGGAAAGGTGTCAGTAGTTCTCCATTTGATAGGAATTTAGGTTTATTCAATATGATTGTACAATTCATGTCCATGAATATCCGGAACTTTTGATATCCATTGGAATGGTGTGAGTGGTATTCCATTGGATAGGCATTATGGTTCATTTCTTGTCCATGGACATCTAAAGCTCTTTTGGTCCCGAAATGGGCATCCATTGTATGGCCTGTGTTATTAGGGTTCTTGTTGTTCACGATGAATAAACAACATTGTTACGGTTGGTTATTTTGGCTGGGATTTCTTTTATTCGTCTGAGGCTGGGACGCATACCTGATTTGTTTGCCGATTTCGGTAGATTTGGCATTTCACACCCATGCTTGAGATATAAATACTTACACCTTATTATAGTTAAGTATTTTTGTATCGATCAGGGAAGCCTTCAAGATTCACATACTTGCTTGATCTGTATTTCATTCTCCATTCGCTGGATGGATAACTTGTTTTTGAATAATCACGGCCAGCAATAGTTTAATAAATAATAAATAAATAAATGATACATTTACTTTTATTATACATTCTACATCTCAACAAGTGTCATATTCGATTACAAGAATGATAATAGGTAAGAGAGCCAGCAGTTATTATCACAAATGTACAAAAGGTAAAGTTCATCCGAAAGGATAATTCTCAACTTTACCACATCAACTGTAACAAAGAAAAATAACTGTAAAAAAGAAAATGAACAAGAACTGGTAAAAAAAGTGGGAAAAGAACTGGAATAGTATTCACACCAATAGGTACTTCAATAGTGCATATATAAAAAATAAATAATGACCTGAATTTATATCACAGTTCAGATTCGACATTTCTTTCGAAGGCTTGCAAACTAGTGATTTCACTTCCTGAGTTTTGAATCATTATGTTCGGAGCAATATATGAAAAGCCACATTTGAAGAAGTTCGTGGTATGATGAGGTATATTCAATTGCATTTGATAGTTTTTTGTCTCAAACAACAATGTAGTTTACCTCCTTTTGATTATCAAGCCAAACACAGTGGAGTATGGAGAGAAATAAATAATTGCTATTATCATTGTTGATATGCTCACACCTAACATTTTCCACGTCTTTTTCCTATATCTGGCACTTGCGCTGTATTTGCCATTACAGCACCTGGTCCATACACAAATATGTCACTCTGTGGTTGTATTTATATTGAAACTACAATTAGAACATCCTTGAAAATTTAATAAACCTGCTGTCAATGAAGGTAGAATATTCTCACCACACGGATTATTCGTTGCATTTTATACATATGGCACGGCACTGGTGGTTACTTCACATATTTATTTGAGTCAATTGTTGCGGTTGCAGAGAAAATAGTATCTCTCATTCGGATCGATAGTGACTTTGTTTGACTCGCAAATTTTGCTTTCGTTCGGCCTCGCAAATGCAAAATTCGCTTGTCAAACAAATTGTTACTTCTGATCCTAATAAAACAATCTACTATTTCACGTTTGTTTTTGGATAACATTCATTACCTACATAAAGTGACGACAAATATAGCCTGTAGACAGCAGATCAAGATTAACCATGCATGGCAAATTAGTTTTGATCCGTCCCGTTTTCCGTTGGTATGTATTGACGTCAATGCAAACGAGAATTTTATACAGAGAAACATGATAATATAACATCCTCAAATTTTACCTGTTTTTAGCATCACTTAGCTATGAGTTCATCAGGAATAGCGTATACATCTATACTATCTACAGGCTGAGGAATAAAGGATTAATGCATTCAGCTTATTGAAACATACAATTTTTTGCAAAAAATGCAACCTATTATGTAATTATTATTTTTTGTGGTTGAAGTGAAGAATGATACAGCAAACTTAGTTTTGCATTCTGACAGTGAGAACAAATGGGAGACCTGGTATATTATTTACTACTCATGAATATTCCAGATGCATTTTTGGCTGCGATTGAAAGCGGTTGATTATTTTAAAACTACTGAACTATATAAGCTTATTTTTTCAAATGGAACGCGTATATTTCTTGGCAACCTGTTGCAGAATTAAAATACGAAACATTTTTTTCACGTTTATATCAACATCAGCTATTCCTAACAATTTTTGCATCACTGAACTCGTATGAGTATGTTTTGCAATTGCAAGCGGACACACACATCGCATGAATTCGTTTTTATACAGTGCTTCCAAGAGGTAATGTTAAAAAAATTAATGAAACACGATCGGATTCGATCGGACTCGACGATTTTTATTTATCGATGAGATTTTCTTGAAGGAAGGAGAAAATCTATCGAATGGTCTCCTAGGTCGCCGGATCTAACTCTTTTGGACTTGTTTTTGTGGGGTTACCTCCAATCGAAAGTGTGTTCATTGCCTTGGATATTATTGTCAAGCTGTGAATGGCAAATATTTTCAACTGTTGATTTGAATTGTTCTGTTTTTTTTACTAAACACGTCTTTACTTATTGATATGTGCAATCGTATTTTGTTCGATAACTGTTTAGTTCAGAATAAGACATGGTACATGAACCATACATAGAATTCGATGCAAAATTCAAAAGAGAATAACGAAATAGGTGTTCCCATTTGAAAAATTGATGATGACATTCATAACTTCTTTTTGGGCTATTTGACTACCCTGTATACATGAATGTAGGTACTATCAGATGAAACGCATGAAAAAAAAACCTCATCAAAATAGAAAAATCGACGGGTCCGAGCGTTTTTTTTCAAAAACTAACCACTCAATTCAAATTGAATTCAGACGTTACTCCTGGGAAGCACTGTATATTATCGACTCTCATAGAGGGGGGCACTATTAACACATTTCGTACCGAGTAGCTTTAAACATAACTTTTTGAGTTTAGGTTTTCTAGTCCAAACTTTATGTGAAGTTAAACATCATTTAATTTCACACCAAAGAGTCACTCTTGGTGAAACCCAATACTGTGTATTGTTTTTGAAATATTATGATTCTGAAATGATAGGGTAGTAGATGTCATGTGATGTCATGTGATGTAAAGTACAAATTATAATTAGCAAGAACGATATCATAAGTCTAACGTTGAAGTCATCAATTGAACAGAGGATCAAAAGAAAGAATTTGAAATAAATTAGGTACTTCGTAGTTACGAGCCAAGTAACTAGCTCCCTCTGTGAGAATGAGATATTGAAATATATTTCATACACATATAATTTCATTACCGATAGTTCCGACAATATCGTCAAAATTGATATTCAACACCATGTAGGTATGTTGAATACGGATGTCGTTTCGAAAATATTTTACTGAACAAACCCATATTATGTTTTGAACACTCTGTATACAGATGTGTTCCTAAAAGAGACATTCTAGAATTATTTTGTTCATTTTCACACTTCTCATTCTGTATCTAGCCAAATTATTAAAGTACCTAATACCTATAGTATGTATGAATTTCAAATTTCAAAATTTCCAAGGCACCCAAATTGAACGGTCTATAATAGTTATTTATGTATCAAGGGCGTAAAGTAGGCGTTTATGGCCTGTGGCGTGAATAATGGCCCGATGGCGCTAGCCGAGGGCCATTACACGCTCAAGGCCTCATATACAATATACCCAGTATATATACCTAACTAATTTTGACGTTGTCAATCAAACTGATGGTTGTTGTCTATATCAATACATCCAATAAACGAGCTGAATTGTCATTCTTTGACTGAAAAGTAAAAATTAGTGATAATAATAATAGCGATAGATATGGAATCGGATGAAGAAGAAGTTTATGATATACCGCTGGATATATTAGAATCTAGGAAAATGATCATAGGTTTTTCATTAATTGATATGTGGATATAAGGTAACTGAGAACAGCGGGCGGTAAAGTGCACTTTACGGCCCGTGGGCCATAATGAGCCCGCGGTCGGTAAAGTGCAACTTAACGCCCGCAAAACCGGGCGGTAAAGTGCACTTTACGACCCGCTAGTGCATAATAGTTATTTATGTATCAAGGGCGTAAAGTAGGCGTTTATGGCCTGTGGCGTAATTAATGGCCCGATGGCGCCAGCCGAGGGCCATTACACGCTCAAGGCCATAAACGCATTTCACGCACGTGATACATACAAAATTTTATGCACTAGTGGTTTATTTTCTGACTCAAAAGTAATGACTATAGATTTCAATAAACTAATATTCCCCCGAATTTGATTTGTTGCGTATAAATTCAGTAATCAAGAGAAGCGTAATGTTCATGGATGATTTACATGTGAAAATTATCGTACGAATATTGCATTTATCGTAATAGTTAAACTCTTTGATCTCTAGAAGAGATTCATTCTTCAGAATTTCACAATATGCATACCCAGTATATATACCTAACTAATTTTGACGTTGTCAAGCTGATGGTTGTTGTCTACATCAATACATCCAATAAACGAGCTGAAATGTCATTCTTTGACTGAAAAGTAAAAATTAGTGATGATAATAATAGCGATAGATATGGAATCGGATAAAGAAGAAGTTTATGATATACCGCTGGATATATTAGAATCTAGGTAAATGATCATAGGTTTTTCATGAATTGATATGTGGATATAAGGTAACTGGGAACAGCGGGCGGTAAAGTGCACTTTACGGCCCGTGGGCCATAATGAGCCCGCGGGCGGTAAAGTGCGACTTAACGCCCGCAGAACCGGGCGGTAAAGTGCACTTTACGGCCCGCTAGTGCATAAAGAAATTTAGAGCTGAGCAGTCGAAAGATGAAAGATTGAGTTATCTTTTCTTCGTTTTGCAGCCCTCTGGTTGGAGAAAACTGAGGAATATAGTGCAATGGACGCCCTTCTTCCAGACCTACAAGAAACACAGATATCCATGGGTCCAGCTGGCTGGACATCAGGGCAATTTCAAGGCAGGACCAGACCAGGGAACCGTCCTCAAAAAGCTGTGTACGAAAGAAGAGAAATGTTTCAAGGTAAAACTGTTTTACAACAATCCCACGTAACTTCTGTAACCATTCAAACTAAATCCCCCACAGATAACCTAATGAAACTGAAACTCGTTCGATTGATTGATTGATTGATTGATTGATTGATTGATTGATTGATTGATTGATTGATTGATTGATTGATTGATTGATTGATTGATTGATTGATTGATTGATTGATTGATTGATTGATTGATTGATTGATTGATTGATTGATTGATTGGTTGATTGGTTGATTGGTTGATTGATTGATTGATTGATTGATTGATTGATTGATTGATTGATTGATTGATTGATTGATTGATTGATTGATTGATTGATTGATTGATTGATTGATTGATTGATTGATTGATTGATTGATTGATTGATTGATTGATTGATTGATTGATTGATTGATTGATTGATTGATTGATTGATTGATTGATTGATTGATTGATTGCGAAAAAGTGAATGTGACATGTTTTTGCTTTCCATTATCCACTATGAGCCTAAGCTACTAATATCGATAACGCTTTCGTATTTTCTCATTCTAGGTTCTGATGAAAGATGTTCTGAGACCGTACGTACCTGAATACAAAGGACTAGTTGCTAGTGATGACGGAGAATGTTCCTATATCCAGTTACAGGACCTCCTGGGAGATTTCGTGTCTCCTTGTGTCATGGACTGCAAAATTGGCGTTCGCACTTATCTAGAGGAGGAGCTTGCCAAAGCGAAAGAGAAGCCTAAATTAAGAAAGGTAGGTTGTGGTCGAGGTTATGGCCGAATAACAGGCGAATGCAATTTCTTCTCATCATTCCCTACCTTGTTCTATTCTATTTCTGTCTTTTTCACCATGTGTCTTGTTTTGTCTACTCTTCTTATTTATTTCCTCTTCTGCTCCATTCTTTTTTTCTTCTTATTCTTTTTCTTCTTCTCACTCTTGATTGCTAGGTTTTGTATATTAGTTCCCTCTCACATCGACAACCAATTTCATATTCCTGTCATTTGGTTACCATGTCCCATGTCTACATTATGTCGATACTCTGTCAATCCTTCAGATTGTTTTTCCATATAGCTTCATATTTGACATTTTTTTTTACCTTCTGCTATTTTTCAACATGTGATCGATAAAAAACATTCAAAATCTTCTTGAAATGTTCGATCTCATTAGAGTCAGATTTTTCTGGCTCCTCAGCCGCTTTGAAAAATGTTACTGAATCCAACAGACCACGAAACTCGTTAGGTCAGTCTTTATAATTTCGATGGTACTGTTTGTTTTTCCTGACCCTTAACAGGTTTGTTTTATTCTGATACCATATACATGTTTTCCTCAACATTCATAATGTATTTTAGGTCATATTCAGTCTGATGATGGCCGTTGTTCCGAAACCGGTCACTTTCTAATGTAATTTTGATATAAAGTGTGGTCGACCGACTTGGAGTTTCTCTTTCATTTATAAATACTGTGGGGCCACTTTGAAAATGGATGATTTTCATAGTTTATATTAATAGTTATTTATGTATCAAGAGCGTAAAGTAGGCCTCGGCTAACGCCATCGGGCCATTATTCACGCTGCAGGCTATAAACGCATTTTACGTACGTGATACATACAACATTTTATGCACTAGCGGTTTATTTCCCGAGTCTCAAGTAATGACTAGATTTCAACAAACTACAATTCATATGTTACCCATGAATTCAGTTTCCAAGAGAAGCGCTATGTTTATGTGTATAGTCTACATAGGTATTAAAATTACCGTACGAATTTCGCAATTATCGTAAGAATAAAACTGTTCACTAACAGATATTCATTCCTTGAGATGTAACAATATAACCCAGTATATAGCAACCTAAATTCGACGTTGTCAATCAATCTGATGATTGCTGCAATACATCCATAAAACAAACTGAAATTGTCATCTTTTGGCTAAAAACTTCAGACAGCCAGAAAGCAACAATTCAAAGAAAGAAGTTATAGCGAAGATGGAATCGGATGAACAATAACATGTATTATAATCATAACGATAGAATCAGCTGAGAGTTCAAATATAGGTATTCCACAAATTGATGTGTGGATATAAGGGATTCGAGAACAGCGGGCGGTAATGTGCACTTTATGGCCCGTGGATAATGTGCCTGTGGGCGGTAAAGTGCCACTTAACGCTCGCAAATCTGGGCGATGAAGTGCACTTTACCGCCCGTTGGAGGATACAAATTATTTGGCTTACTGAGTCAGGGCAAAAGGAGGTTCCCTACTTGGGAGCGTGCTGAGAGTTAGCTACGCCACTGCTGGGTAGTGCAGGTTGATTATCAGACATGAAAGACCTTCCTAAACGATTCGATTGCTTCCAGGACATGTACGAGAAGATGTGCCAAATCGACACGACCGCGCCCACGGAAGAGGAGCACAAGCTGAAGGGCGTGACGAAACCGCGGTACATGGTGTGGAGAGAGACGATATCCTCGACGGCGACCTTGGGGTTCCGAATAGAGGGAATCCGCAGTGCGGATGGCACCTCGACGAAGGACTTCAAAACGACGAAGACCAAGGACCAGGTGATGGCCTCTTTCGAGAAGTTCACCGAAGGGTTTCCGCATGCAGTGGTGAGTTCACGGATTCTGAAGATTGTTCAAGTCTAGTGCCGACTAGAGTCCCTGTATGTATTTGACAGTTTTGCTGTAATTGATCGCATGCACGATGACCAAACCTGGAGGTGAAATATTGAAAGACGACCTCACTCTTCTGTGAAACATTGAAACACAACCACATTTATTTTATTGGTTTACGAAGGTATCAAAGGATTGAAATAGTTTTTCACAATATTTTGGCATACGAATCGTGTTTTTTTCGCAATTCATTCATTCAAGCATACCTTCTTATTGTACTGTTGTACAATGCACAAAAACTGTAGCGAGAGACGAAGGAATATGATTTTTCAAGTGAATAGTAATCTCACATAGTTTTTATTACGAAATTATGTCATTTCTTATTGAAATTCCTTCTGCCACTTATGCAATAGAAGTGAATAATGCTGAAAGATTGAAAATGTCTACAACAGTCCTCCTGTTTGATTGCATGAATCCAATCTTCTTGCATTATTTTAGAAATTCCACGATTATTTCTATCAGTTCCTATAATTCCTATGCCAAAATTATTGTGAAAAACTATTTCAATCACTTGTAAACAAATAAAAAAGTAAGGTTGTGTTTCAGTGTTTCACCTCCAGGGTCGGTCATCTGACAGTTCTTGCACGCATAAAAAGGAAGACAGAGAAAGATATATAGATGTACCCTTCACCACGACAGTAGAGGTAAGACGATCCGAAGTGCATAGAAAATCATATCCATGTCTTTGTTCAACCAAACCTTCAAAGTCATTTCAAGAATTTGGGGTGATGCCTTTTGTCACTGCTTATGTCATAGTGTCCGTACTCTTATTACATTCAGTTCTTGTTAGCCAGTCGCTAGAGAAGTTGAATAGTTTCATGACTAAAATTGTGTTCTTGCATAATAAAACATTGATATGATAAAAATTGGCAGCATATTATCTTGATTGCACCACTGAATCTTATATGACTTCATAATTTGTCATTCGATGTATATTGATAGTTATTTATATTAGTTCACAATCATATCTTTTTATTTCTATAGTGGACATGTTTATTGGATGAGTCGAATTATTCAGCTAGATTTTAATAATTGGGTGATTGCCAACTGTCAGTATCTTATAATTGTTGTATAAATCCAGTATTTCTTTTATACAGATGAAAGTAGTTATGAGGACGTCAGGGGGTATCTTTCATCCAAAGTACGATTTGGATTCAGTGGTATATTCTCTTGCTTCCAAAATGATACAATTTTTATGCATCCGAATTATATGTTCAGTAGTAATACTATGAGAACTTCAAAATATTCGGTTTATACATCGATAGCTTATTGTTGATTAATTACAAAGATAATAATTCTGTTAAACTGACACTATTTGTAATTGTGCAGGAAGTTTGAGATGTATGACTTTAAAGATTTTGAAGTACGAATTGTATTCAATGCGATTATTTTTCGAGTAGTTCTGAACGAACGTCAAAATTCGACGACGCGCTTGAATGATTGGTGGAACTATACTTTATGTATATCCACGTATATTCGTGATTATACAAGGTAACTTAGGTCAATAATTGAACATTCTGATTGGATTAAAATCATACGAAAAAAATAATCATCTGAAATACGATTGACTGCCTTCAAAATTCAACGTCATTTTGTGACATGACAAATACGATGATAGTTTATTCACTGTTAATTTGTTCTTGATTGTTATTCATCACTTTCCGAGATTATATACAGTGTGTCTCTCTTCTAATGAAGCACCCCTGTATCCTACGTAATTTTTAAGTTAGGATTCTGAAATTTGCATATACCAAAAATATACACTATGACCAAGTGGGCACATCTCCAGTGATATAAACTGCTCGCCCTGGAAAATGTTATTAGGAGGCGTGATATAGGTTGAAAATCACTTTTGATTCGAAATAAGGATGTCCAATCTATCAACTATTCATATTTCTCCTCAAAAATGTTCAGTTCTGAGAAATTAGATTTTGTCTCACCTCTTTCATGGAAGCTCCCCCGTATCTTACGTCATTGAGGTGGGAATCTGAAAGTTGCAGGGGCAAGGAAGAGTTCAAAGAGAAAGTCAATGATCAAATAAGATAATCATCAGTGATATGCATTGCTCGCCAGCAGCCATGTGGACTGAATAATATAAATTTTTGGTATGAAAAAGTTACCGCCCAGTAATTTCGAATTTCGACCAATAGGAACATTTTCTCATCATCATATCAGATATCGGACGTTGGATTAGGGAAGCATGGGATTATGATGTTGACAGATTATGAAAACTTTCTATATCCATATTTTCAGTAGAGGAGTCATTGTTGGTATTAAATTTTTTTTTTCAGCCGAAGTATATCCAGAGACTGAAAGCCATCAAGGCTACACTTGAGAGTTCATCATTCTTCAATACACATGAGGTTAGAATTCTTCAATATCTAACGCCATACTTATTAACTAACATGAAATTGCCACACTAACATATCTAATCTATATACAGGGCTTTTGTAGACGAGTGGACAGCTGTATGAGTTTTAAATGATTTACTGGAGTAGGCTCACGCTAGGCATTGTTGCCTGTTCATTTTTTCTTTCGAATCATGAATAATGAATAAATGAAATAGATGAAAAACCCAAAGTCATCTCCACAACTTTTATTGAAATGATCAAAGATCATCAATGGTACATGTGTACAGTTGTGGAGATGACTTTGGGTTTTTCATCTATGAACTGCACCACTCCACTTTGAGTTACCATGGACTTCTTCCAAAGATTGAATAAATGAAACTCGAAGGGGTTGCTTGAATTATTTCTAGTTGAAGTTCATATTATCGACCTGACCTCTGGGCTATTTAATAATCTCAAGAAGATTCCTCATCCTCTAATGCACCCTGTACATACCTTTTTAGCTTCCATCTTATAATGCATATAATATTCATTTTAGAAATGTACAGAGACTTATCGGTGGTCCAACGGAAACTTAACACCCAGATTTTAGGACTTCAAAATGAAAATCCGGAAGAAAGCTCGGACCCGTCGTTTTCTGATTGAACGGAGAACGACTTGCCTGCTTTCTTCATCCCCTCAACCCCTATCAGGATGAAGCACAACCTCCAGATTTTGAATAGGAATGAGGGGTGTTGCGATATCTCATTTTGAAGATTTTATCGAGTACATCAGACCCTCTAATTTTGCGTCAAAATTCTCATCGATAACGAAATGAGAGATAAAATAGTAGAAGAGGCAATGTCGAATTTACATCGAAAATATTATTTCTCACCTGATAGTTTTTTTAGAGTAGGCTTCGAGAAGTATTTATCTATTTGTGGACGCACTATCTGTCCAACCTAATAGTGGTGAGGCAATGTCGAATTCACCTCGAAAATTTTATTCTTATCAGAGTAGGCTTCGAGAAGTATTTATCTATTTGTGGGCGCACTATCTGTCCAACCTGATAGTGGAAGAGGCAATGTCGAATCTACCTCGAAAATATTATTCTTATTAGAGTAGGCTTCGAGAAGTATTTATCTATTTGTGGACGCACTATCTGTCCAACCTAACCTAACCTAACCTCTGTTCATCGTGAATATTCAACAATGTTTCAACATTATCAAATCGATTGTTGAATATTCACTATGAACTGACGTAAATGGAACAGATAGGGCGTCCACGAAATTTTTGAATAAACCCTTTTCGAATCCTACTCTAACAAAAATAATATTTTCGAGGTGAATTTGACATTGCCTCTTCCATTATTTTCATGAATGAAAATTTTGGCGCGGAATTAGAAGATCTGATAGTACTCCATGAAATCTTCGGAATGAGGTATCGCTACACTCCTCATCCCTATTCAAAATCCGGGGGTTGTGCTTCTCTCTGGTAGGTGGTTGAAGTTATGGGCGGATGAAGATAGCAGACGAGTCGTCCCCCCTCGAATCAGGAATCGACCGTACCGAACGTTTTTCCAGATTTTCCAGTTTTTGTTCGACCACCCTGTCCAAGTATGAATCATAATTATTTGGTTTTGTAACAGGTGATCGGTAGTTCACTTCTTTTCGTCCACGACCGGTACAACGCCAACGTATGGTTGATAGATTTCGCCAAGACGATCGTTTTGCCTGAAAACGTGAAGATAACGCATAATTCCAAATGGAAAGTGGGAAACCACGAGGACGGATACTTGATAGGAGTGGAGAATCTGATCAAGATTTTCATGACGATGTTGGAACAGCAGCCGATTACGATCAGTCCTCCAATGATGCTTCAAGAGCCTTCTGAAGTTGTTAGAGAAAATGTAGACAATACTTGACGAGGTTGGAGGACATTAGATGCAATCATGGGGGAACTATATAGGATGGTGTGCTACGACGCATCTTTGTGGATGTCACTGCGAGTTAAACAATATAGGTCAGCGCGCGAATGTCAATTTGCCGTTATACTTCAAACTCGTTTGAAAACAGTTTGGTAGGAAATGTTTTGAACAGATAGTTGCTGTAATGATAGGGGAGATTATATTATACCAACCATTCTTCAAATTGATGTTATGTCAACAGCAAGCCTCATCAAGTCAAACAAGTCATCGTTTTTCGGGAAGCTGAATTTACAGTTTGTTTGCAATGAAATTTAGTAAATCTGAATAGTTCAGATAATGAGGACAGTGACTGGCTCGCAGTGATATCATGCACAAAATAAACGAATATTGGACTCATGAGTAGCACCATACTATATTTCCACCATGGATGCAATGTAATGCTGAAGAATATTGATAATACGATGAATATATTCGTGTAAATTGAACTTGTTCCATTTTCTTGAATGGAATATAATAGTTGCAATGATACAGTGAAAGAAATTTTACCTACGAGGGTTGATTGGATCAATCCAATCAATCTCAACTGATCAGGATGACGTTTGGTTTCATAATGAAAGCAATTATAAATTTTCATTTAATATAATTTTTTTTTCAAATAATTCTCATACAATATTGATGTGAAAGCGACAACAGTTTGTAATTTGATTTGTAAATATTCAGTTTACTATTTATTTATTTATAATTCCTATGTTTTTATATGATTTTTTTTCGTCTATGTTTGACGAAATAATTTCAATGCACTGATTTAACTACCTACTAAGGTACCTTCAAGATGGATTGAAGTGTTCTAATTCCGACTTGGATATTATAATTTTCATTTTATATATCCGTCATTTTTATAATAATAGTCATATGAAGTATACATCAATAAAGACCTAATTAGTGAAAGTTGCAAGATTTGTTTCTGTTCGATTGCCTACCAATGATTTTTCAGCGTCATTCTGAAAATGTATTCATAAACTACCATTTTCGGAATCTATATAATTATAGTCTATACAAACCATTACAAGAGGTAATTGTCTACCTCTACAAAATGTAAGTTGGCATGCATTTCAATCCATTTCACTAAAAATGAGAAAAAGCTCTAAAATCTTATTTTCAATGGCAATCCTGATACCCGTGAGCAACACAACAGACAATGCGATCATTTGTGAACTATCAAAACAAAACTCAATTGTGGGGAAAAAAATTATATTTTTGTGGTATGTGTATTTATAACTGAATATATGAATTTCAGTGCCATTCAGGACAATTCAATATCAATGTCTGTCTCTGGAATTTATCCCAGGTAGCAGAGTGACGTCAGAGAGACGTCATTTTAGAATCACAAAATGACGAAATAGATCATAAAATGTCGTCAAAATGTCACAGCCACAAGACGTCATATTTGTATCTCAAAATGACAGCTCAAAATGACCTATGAAGACGAAATGAAAAAAGTCCACTAGGTATTTATGGGCACATACTACATGGATCATACTCTAGCTGGTGATAAACAAGAGTATAACCAATGAAAAAACTACAACTCGGCCTCAGGAAGACCACGATTTTTATAATCCCGATCTCAGATCATTCTTTTATGTTCCAAGCAAATAAATCCCTATCATTAATTTGGAAATATCAAAATATCCTAGGAATAATCTGGTATATTCTTGAATATCTGTGGAATTTTATTCAAATATGCAAATTCCTCAGATATTTATGGAATATCTCCAAAAGAATATTATATGTTGAATGTTCCTGGAATATTTCAAAAAACATTAAAAAAGTGATTGAAATAATTAATTAATGGTGGCATGACCCCCACATCTGACACCTCTTACATTGAGAAATCTCCCAATCATTTTGCCGGAGCTTCCAAGTGACACGAGTAAAGAATAAATTCTTCACCCTGTCATTGCGATCTCTAAGCGAAATAGAAGGGAACACCTCTCGGCTTCATATGTTATAGGATTCTTTCATATCCTCTCAGAACGCTCGGGCTCGAAGTTTAGGCCCCTCACTATACACACGAATGTGATTTATTTTTCTTAAGCGTGTACATAAAATGGTACGACTTAATCGTCCTCGAGTTTGGATTTCAACATCTCTAAGTCGTATATGATGTTAGAAAGAATGGTTTGCTTTTAAGTTCTTCACTCATAGATGTTATGAGTTTCCTATCTGTCAACATCCCATCGAAAACAAGTGGTGCTAGTTTTTTGTCTTTTTGATAGGTGTTGAATTTTTTGTAGATAGATTTCGGGACGTTTTTGGGCTTGGTGGAGGGCTCTTCCTCGTCCAAAAAGTCTTCATCATCATCATCATCATTTATTCATTTCCATTAGACAATTTACATTGTATTGGTACAGTCATTTTGAAAGTAGGTATATACAATAGTAGATAGAGAAGAAGAAGATACTATTTACAGTTCAAAAGTTTTCCGAACCCTAATATATTCAGAAAGACCAAAGCAAATATAATAAATAAACTCAAACAGTGCTTGAAAAAAATTCGTTCATTCGTCTGAGGTTGTTGGTAGCTTTTGACTTTTGATCCTCCACTATTGGTTGGCTAGTCTGTCTGAGCTATTTCGTTTCTTGTGAAATTGTGAGTTGGTACCTCCGGATGACCTATAAGTACTATCAGTGAAAGTATTATAACAGAATACTGCAATTTCTGATTCTTCGATAAGCTAGACTAGTTTCTGTGGTAGGTATTGCATTCCTTAGGAATTATGATATGACTCCATGGGTAGGTTTATTTAATTATTTACCTATCAGCGAGTCACTATCGGATACATAGATACATAGATGTACATATATAGGGATGTAGGAGAACGAAAAATACCATAATAAGTGAATTGAAGTTTATTATTTCTCCATCACTTCATATATAGGTAGTCCTAGATGATATACCTACCTGTATAGGTACCTACTTTACTACATATAGGAAATGTTGAAAGTGGGGAAAATACGTTTGTCAACATTCAACATTTATATATAATTCACTTATTAGTGTAATTCAGGATATCTCATTATATAATATGCATATGTGCTGAAAGTGACTTCATTTGGTTCCCCGCGCGGTTTGCCTACCACTAATCTGATTATTTCTCAATATATCCCAACCACAGAATATATTTTCGTTTTAAATTTTCTGATCATATAAGGAGGCAACCTTTATCGAAGTTACACAGGAGGGCTGATGTGTAAGTAATATAATATGATGAAGTCTGGTAAAGCGCATATGCCTTTCATTGGCCCGGTACCGGCTGGAATCCGCTGGATTATAGGAGAAAGATTTCAATATACCATACAAAGGGGCAATATGAATATTGAATCGTACCATAATTGCACCGATACAATACAGAAATCGGATTGTTGCTTGCAGAATGGTTTTTATGAAGATACGGTCATTGGTCTGAAGATATGGGATTCATTGAAATAATTACGCAGAATGTACGATGTATGAAACAGAGAATATCTGAATTCAAGAAATACTATATGGAGCCAAAAAAGGAAGTGGCGTTTTTGTTTGGTGTAGTGTTTCCCACACTGAACTAGAAAAACGGTTTGAGTTTCATTATACGGTGTATAGATCACCGATGTATATATTCAAATCGGTAATAGGTGAGTGAGTGAGTTGATTTTGAACATGGAAGATAGTCACAAATATGATACACTAACAGATAGTGAATCACAATGTTTGCTATCATTTGGAGGACCGTCAATTCGAGAGCTACAACCAAAATCATCAGGTGGCCTTGTCACATTCTTGTTGGTTGGCCTTAGGATTCATAATGTTTTGGTTAAATCTAGCACTTCCAGTATTTATTTGGTTAGGTTAGGATTTATAATGAATTATTCATTGACTATTCCAAGAATACCTATAAGCATACATACATTATACATATGCCCCTGGAAATTCAAGGATATAGTTCAAGAAAAACTCGAAAATGATATATCAGGAATTCCTTGCAGTAGTAGAACATACCACGAACTTGTTAATTCATAGATAATGTAAGAAAATCTAACAAATTGATGATGAGGTTTTTCCATGCGATTTCTAAATTTTCGACTACTTCTCAGTCCTGTAATTTGGAAACTATCATTTTACCACAAAAACCTTATATTTTTATAGCCAATTTCAATGTGTCCATCCTTCACAGTGGCGAAGTTGGGGGTGGGGCCTTAGGAGGAGCTAGGCTAAGCCCTACCAAATCATGACCCAGCCCCCCAAAGAAAATTTGAGAGAATGTAGTCGTTAAAGTCTCTCAATATTTTCCAATCTACCGAAAGGTATGTATCTATAATAATGGTCATTATCAAACTGTACTCAAATTTCGAACGTATCAGCACCCAACATGAATCAATAATATGTTGTCTCGAAAAATTTCGATCATCAGGAATTAATGGACGAATTTTCGAAGACAGGAAGCCGAAAATTGATGCTTTCGCATTGAACAAGTTGGCATTCTCATCACGTTGTTTTAAGCTCAACAGTTCTTATTGATTGGTTTTTTCAAATATGTATGTATCAGTTGTATGGTATGTATTTCTATTGAAACGTATCCCCAATTTGTATAATTGCACCTATATACTGTCATAATCCCAATGTACCCAGGCTTCAGCCACCTCAGAATTGGAGAGCTTACTTCTCCACTGATCCTCCAATGGATATTTTTTCTCTAAAGGAATGGAGCTATGCCAAGAACTAGTTTCGGACGCCATTATTTCAAGATGGCATCACGAGCGGTGGTCGCTTGAGGTCGCAAGCTCAGGGTTATTGTACTGAGGATCGACAAGCCTAAAATTCTCAAATGACTGAGCTACTGCGATAGTCCAAGAGTCGGCTGCAAATTTCGACCGTCATCTGATGACGAAATGATATACGTCCCAAAGGCAGACGTAGGTTTATCAGATCTATCATTCAATGGGCGTATACACCTTAGTAGAACTTTTAACTCAAACCATGTTTATAATGATCCTTTTATACATAAATAATGATTGACGACATAATTCGATCGAAAAATTGACTGCAATGTTTTATTTTTAGACATAAATAATAGTACCTTCTGAAAACGGACCCTCTTATGACGTAGAAACCTCATCTCGCCATAGTTGAAATAAAATACCAAACGCCCGACGGAAACTGAGGCAACTGATATATTAATTCTTTCAACTGTGATCTCGCGCTAATTCACTCTGTCAGAAATCATGTATCATTCATCTCTGTCTGGAATAGTCTTGTTTCAGTATTAGGGTTTTGACGTCACATCATTGCCTCGTTTTCAGAGGTCCGAAAAATCGGGGATTTCAATATTTTTTTATAAAACGTAGGGACCTCACAGCAAGAAACGGTTTGCGGTGGTGAGCTAGTTTGGGTGAGTTCTATCGAATTATGAAATAATTATTTCTTGTGATATAAGTCCATTGGTATCGGATGGCATAGTCCTTATCTCGTGATGAACCGCACAGGAAAGTGCTATTTTTCAATAATCTTGTTCAGGATAGTGATTGGCATCGATGCCGTTCGATAAAATACAACGTTTTCACATACCTTTCGAACATATAACATTTCGTTAGCAGATAATAATAATAATAATAATAATAATAATAATAATAATAATAATGAACGTTTATTCAGGATTGTACATATAAATGGCCTTTCTTATATATTCATATACAGGGTGTTATTTAAGTATGTGGCCAAACCTCAAGGGACGATTATTCGGGTGATTCTAAGATGACAAGTTCATATAAACATGAAATGCTTCGTTTTCAAGATACAGGGTTCTAAAGTTGAAAGTATGCATTGTTGTTTTCCATGCGATTACCCAGTATGAGCTTTCATGAAGGCAAAATTCAGTCTGGCTGGTAACTGGAAAAGTCTCAAAATTACAAAAGCTTTTCAATTGTTTAATCTGATGAAAAACTATGACGTAGGCACCTTTTTTACCAAAAATATCGAAAATGTAAACCCACTGCGACGCCACTGGAATCATTATTTCGAATCTACACCAAAAGAGGGTTCGTGGAGTGGAAACAAAATCGCCCAGTTTCACTCATATTGGAAAACAGAATTTTGAGTAATAAATAAGAAAACGATTTTTTATTGAAACTTTGACGCCCTGTACCTTGAAAACGAAGCATTTTTGGACCTATGTTTATATGAACTTCTCGTCTTCTTAGAATCACTTAAATAATCACAGGTTAGAGTTTGGCCACATACTTGAATAACACCCTGTATGTATAGCCCAAACGAACAGTGAAGGAAACCACAAAAGCCGGAGCTGCGCGTGGTGCATTCAATGCTGTAGAAAATTTGAAAGAATTGAAATCAATATATAGTCAATGAAGTAAATAATATGAAAAATATAAATGATGACTCGATATGCACAGTGATTTTAAATAATTACGTATGCACACAGTGCACAGTACAGAGTATACCAATACATTTCTACCTAGAGTTACATACATCTAAATAAATCGCCTGGAAAGATAGAATTGAAAAGGAATCATGTCGAGAGTATATAATATCATGACATTTATTCGTTGATAGTGTATAATTTCATTTCATGTATAAATATCTCAAATTTTTTCCTCAATAAATTTTTGGAATTTATTGTAAGAACGTAATTTTTTTGTCATTTTGGTCGAAATTTGCAGCCGGTTCTCTTACTATGGTTAATGAATGAAAAATAACATGTTTCCTTCACGCGTTTTCAGTCACCCTTGTGATCTTGGAATTTAGTAAATCTGTAAATATTATACCTCCTCGCACTAGTCGCCTACTAGGTTTCCATTTAGATCGACAATGGTGTAAATCATCATAAAACACAAAAATATGCGCTTCTATTGTGAGATTATAGTGAAGAAAATGGTGATATGAAACTTGTTGATTCATCCGTAGTATCATTGGTATTGAAATCATCAAGTGCTGATACAATAACAACATTGAAGCGATTGTAGTCTGACACAGATTTTTGATCATATCGCAATATAATTTTTTGTTCCATTGTGCAAGACCTTCAAGAATATTCGGCTCATGACTCCTCCACTTTCTGAGTTCGAAACAACCTAACTTGAGTAACACAGAAAGTTCTGATTGAAGCGAAATTGCCCCTGATTGAATGATCAGCTAAAGGAAACTGATTTTTTCAAATTACTGAGTTCATTCAAACATTTTGTGGCTAAATATGGTGTACTATATATGTATAGTTGTGCCATATGTAACGGTTTTCAGTACAAATGTTTTAACTTGCTCATTTTCGTCAAACCACAATATTTTTTGATATTTGTAGTCATCTTCGGAAATTTCAACTTGTCTGTACATTTTATGTATATCTGCAGTCAAGACATAATTATGAAATCTAAAACGAATTAGGTGAGAAAAAATGTCATCCTGAACTACAGGACCTTTCATTAAAATTCCATGTAATGAAATATTACTTGTGGTTTTCGTAGATCCATCAAATACTACCCGTAACTTTGTGCTAATGCTTTCTTCCCGTTCCCGACATACACAATGGTGAGGTAAATATATAATAACCATCACCAGGGTCATTTTAGAAAATATGCATATGGCCTAACTCAATGTATTCAGCCAAGAACGTCAAGTACTGTGATTTGAATTCTGGATTTTTATATAGTCTTTTTGATGATTGATCAAACCTACTTTGTGCCAAGTCCTTGGATAAACCTGAAACATTTTGATGGAAGTTTAACCACGAATCTACCACACGATTCTTGATATGTATACTGAGTGAAATGTTTTTTACAATTTTGCTCCTCATGTGAATAAATTGGTTGTTTAGGAATTTCTTGGAACGTCCATAGGACGTTCGAATTTGGTACCATGGACTTCCATTGGACGTCTGTGGGACGCACAAATGTCCCACTCGAGGACCAACTAGGGACGTCCTTGAGGGATGTCCCTGGGACAACTATCGAATACCTAAATCCTACAGTATTCCTCATCAAGCACTACAGAGGATGTCCTTAGGACATCTATAGAACAACCTATCAGCAACGCTGAGGGATATCAATTGGATGTCCATTGGATGTCCATTGGATGTCCCAAGGACATACGAATTATTCTGGAATTTGAATTTTAATGGGTCCCTCAAGGACCAGATCTTGCATAACTAATAAAACATCCAGTTGGATTGATGGTCGATAGAAGGTCCCCAAAAAGTTTCCCAAGGATGTCCGATGGACTTACATGAAGAACATTGACGAGGAGTACTTATAGCCTACGAGCAATCATTCGTCGGCGAGGTGTAAGTTAACGTCCTCTCAGGGACAACATATCGAAAGTACCGACTGGGACGTCCATTGGACGATATTTCTAGGACATTGAAAGAGTACAGTCCATGTACCAATTAGGACATCCGACAGATATCCCTAAGGGACATTCGAAGAAGGGACATTTCGATTGTTATACGATCCTGGAAATATTAAGGGCGTCTGTGCAGAGATATTTGAAGGAATGTACCATCAGGGACATTTCATGGTCGTCTAGAAGGGACATTATATAAGATCTGAAGTCATGCCAGAATATGTACTACTCGGGACATCCGATGGATGTCCCTAAGGGAACGTTTAAAGTCATATCCCATCAGAGACTTGCCAAGGACGTCCTTGCATGGACATTCTACAATATGTACCATGTGGGACGTCCAAGGGATGCTATTTCTAGGACATTTGGAATGATGTACTGAAATTATGAGCTGGGACATTCCGTGGACGTCCTTGCTCGGACATTGCATGAGATGTACGGGATGGGACGTCCCAAATACACTTATTTTTGGTTCGGGACATTCGGACATGAATTGTACCAAATAGGGGCGTCCCTAGGACTTTTTGAGCTATTAGGGTATCCAACCAAGCTGCATGGACCATTTTTTCAACTCAGTATCTGACCAATACATAACAATTAGTAATAAAATTTTGCCCCGATGAGGAGATCTATTTTATTTGGAACATTGAACTCTGGATCAGCTAAGTTGATAATATATGATGTATTCGAAATCTATGCACAAAATGCGTACACAGTATACCCGTACATCTCTACCCCTAGAGTTTCATACATCTAAATAAATAGCATGGGAAAGAGAGAATTGAAAAGGAATCATGCCGAGAGAATATAATATCATGATATTAATTCGTTGATAGTGTATAATTTCATTTCATGTATAAATATCTGAAATTTTTTCCTCAGTAAATTTTTCAAATTTATTGTAAGAACGTGATTTTGTTGTTGTTTGGGTCGAAATTTGCAGCCGGCTCTCCAACTATGAATGAATGAAAAATAACATGTTTCCTTCACCCGTTTTCCGCCACCCTTGTCAGTATCTCGGAATTTAGTAAATCTGGAAATATTATACCTCCTCGCATTAGGTCGCCTACTAGGTGTCCATTTAGATCGACAATGATGTAAATCATCATGAGACACAATAATATTCGTTTCTATTGTGAGATTATAGTGAAGAAAATGGTGATATGAAACTTGTTGATTTATCCGTAGATTATCAGTGGTATTGAAATCATCAAGTGCTGATACAACAACAAAATTGAAGCGATTGTAGTCTGACACAGATTTTTGATCATATCGCAACTAATCACAATTTAATTCAATGTAAAATTTTCCTATTACTTCACAAATGCGGTAAGATAAGGAATGCAATAGACTAGTACTATATTTCATCGAAACAATATGTTTTCAATATTGTCTTTCACTTCGTCATATTCATATCTCCAGTTCCTATTTGTAGAATACACTTCAAGGTTACTGAATACACAACCATCGAATTGATCTCTGAAATTCAGATATCACAAATAAATTCACTTTTAACTATCGATTTCTCTTGCAATTAAAAAATATATGTTCTTTGGAACCAATTATCACAAGTATCTATAATTATCTATCGGATTCACTATCTTTTCTTTTTCTCCTGTTCACTTGGTTCATAACTGGGCTATTGACATAAGTACCCATATTTGCAATATTTGCAGGCCTGACAGAAAACCGTCGTCCAGTCTCTGCAATCTTAACAAAATTTTGAGCTTCTGTGGGCGCTAGCGAAGAACTCAGTGTGTTCTCCTCAACGGGTCTCAGAGAAAATCTCCTCGGAGCAGGCCGAGAAATACTCAATGGAGCCAAAGAAGTTCTCCTATCCACAAACCGCGAACCCAACCGTTTCATTCTCGGTGAGTATTGTGGAGGAGTTAAACACGCAATTCCTATTTTCCTCTTAGGCGTTGCAATGTCTTCTGGACTAGCTATAGCACTAATTGCTCGTATGAAGTCTGCTATAGAAGTTTGTTCCAATACTTGCTCGTTACGAATCGATTGCCTTCGAATATCCACACCAGTGCTGAAGATACTGGTCCTACGTTTCTCAGCATCATCTGCAGTCTGCTTCTCGATATCTGGCTCCTTGTCGTCTTTCTTGATCCTGTTGGTGATCCATTGGAATCGTTGGAAGAATGTTTGCGGCTTGTCTTCTCCCTTTTTCACCAAAGGCGTTATCCTCAGCACTCTGCTTTTGTTGAATGCTTTGAATGCTGTATTCGCATCTTCTCCATACCAAGTATTTACGGTGTTGTCATGCAGATAGACCGGCGGGGGAGGTTTTATGTCACTGAGTGCACGTCTCCTCTGAGGCCTAGCTGTAGGAGGGGAACTATATTGCTCACTCGCTAATATTTCGCTGTCTGAGAACCCGTGGATACCACCTTCAGGCTCCCTGTTTAGTGTTGATACGCTACTCAGAGCATCAACTACTTTGAGAATCAGATCCTTCTGCTTCATAAAGGCGTCAGAAGGTCTGAACGTGCGTTCTATGTCGATTTTATCCAATTCAGTATCAGACTGAACTCTCTCCAGGACATTGTACTTGTAGCATTCAGACATTGCTCTTTTGCGCGCTAGGGACGGAGAGTTTTTGTTTCTCCAGAGCGTGAGGTCAGGACAGCTTTGGCTTCGGTCTAAGATGTGGGGGACGTATTCGAATTCTCCCTTGTACACAGGCTTCACTCTCATGAAGAGGAACTCATGGAGGATCGTTCTGATCTCACTTCTTATTTTCTGATTGGTGCGTGTGAATATTTTTTCTAGCTTAACTATTTTTCGGCTACGCATGCCTTGGGTTATGAAGCCGATCACCATGACTAAGTAGCCGAGACCTCCAATGACCCAAACCAGGAGGAAGATTTGGTAGCATAATATGATGCTGGGACTGAAGTCGCGATGGTTATTGAAACCTGGAATAATAAAATCACTAATAATTATCATGCGGTATAATGGTCCATTATTATGAAAATATTGTTGAAAAATTGATGAAGTAATATTGGCGAGTCAAAAACTGTAACATTTCGATATCCGTACAATATCATTATTGGTACAATAATACTCATCAATGTTAGTAAAATATTGAAAATAAATATTGAACAATGTTGTCACAACATGAAGGTAATATGCACAGATCAATATTGGCAACATATATTCTACAAACAATATTGACATGTAAAAACTTCACAAACGATAAAATTTCCACAAAATTCTCAAACACACGACATGTTTCGCTAACACAGTAGCTTCGTCAGGTGATATACTGGTACAATGAACTAAACTAACGTTGGCTTGCTTAACTTTTATATATCTTACTTTCCCAACCTGAAGGATTAGTTACCTGTGGACAGGTACGATGAACCTCCATTTTCGGAAATTATAGGCTCAATATCTAATTAATTTTAATGTAGATATTGAAAAGTTATACAGAATCTGGTAAGGTTATCTTGAGTTCCACAAAAATGTGGCACAGGACTAAAAAAACCGCAAGGTTCTATCTCCAGAGATAACTGAGATATCACGCAAAAGCTTCGAAAACTGGACACACTGTACAATTAGCGTTACTTCAGGTATATGCTCACTCCTAACATTCCCTGTAATTGGGTGTATACCTGTTGGAAATAAAGTTCTATCTATCTATCTATCTATCTATCTAGCTAGCTATCTATCTATTATGTATGGGATTCTCACCTGAGACATAATCTCCGAAACCAATGGTTGTGAGAGTAACGAAGGCAAAATACACAGATACATCGTAGTTCCATCCTTCGAAAAAACTAATTATGGTTGATGGCAAGAAAATGAAGAAGGTTAGTCCAGGAACAGCATACAAGATGATCTGACCAATGAGTCCGAGTTTTGCAGAGCTTTTCTCGATATGCAGATTTTTCCAACGTTTATATAATTTTTTGAACTGAAAAAAAAACAACAAATATTGATTCTCATAACATGACATACTTATGGAAGAATCTGGAATGCATAGTGGAATTCACATATGTTATTAGTGATAAAAGAAATTTACTCACAAATGCATAGGTATTTCAACTTGAGTTGGGAGTTCAAAAGATCTCCCATAGGAAAAAGATAATATTGTTTATCCGATTTCAAAAAACGAAAAAAAAATCATTGTATTTGAAAACATAAGGAATCAATTATGTTTTTGAATCGAATATTGTTTTATTATAATATAATTATTCTTCATTCACACAAATCACAAAAATTACAAGTAACACCTGTTAAAACCCCAAAATATTTTCGTTTATTTAGTTTTTAGTATAAATATACCTAGACATAATAATTCGTACAATAAGATTCTCTGAACCTATGAAGATTCATTCACTCAATAATATCCAATATAATCCGGACCCTAACTTTTGGCTTCGCATGTATATCCGTCCAGCTTTGGAAGCAATCGACGCCCTCGAAAACGGGGGAATACGGGAGAAACTCATACGGTACCGCGAGAGAACGGACTCGATTTGAAAAAACCCGAAAATCTCGGGCCCAAACAAAACGCTAAGGCTATACGCGATAGTGTGAAATCATGCAACAATATTAGCCACTCAAGAGGGTGCCGATATGGAGATTGAAAGACTTTTGAGGCAGGATGTGGACCAAACATATTTTTTTATTAAGAGTGTCCACTATGATTTGTTCGAGGCTAATCCTCCTCGACCCCATGCCTCTGCTGATGACCATGCTAGGCTACCGAAACTCAATGTTCCTATGTTCGCAGGAAGTTCAAAAGAATGGAGTAATTTCATTTCTTTATGCAACTCTCTAATAGACCATAAAAGTAATCTGACTGATATTCAGAAATTTCACTACCTGCTCTCTTTGCTCTCTGGAGAACCACTTCATCATATTCAGCATATCCCTTTATTACCTGAAAATTATTCTACTGCATACAATAATATTCATTCGATATATCAAAATAAACGAGCTCTTGTAAAAAGTTATTGAGATGAAATATATCATGTTCCTAAATTGAATTCTGAGTGCTCAAAGAGTTTGAGACACTTGTTTGATATATTTGCTGATAACCTAAAGGCTTTAGAAATAATGTTATTTCCCGTAAACCATTGGGACTACATTCGGATGAATATTTTATCATTGAAATTAGATTCAGGCACCCTAAGACGTTCCGAGCTCCAGCATGGCTCAACAGAGATACCAATATAACAGGATCATTTCGGATTTTTAGAAAAAGAGTGTGTAGCACTAGACTTATTCGCCCCAGTAAAACCTCACTATCAAAAATATAAGCATGATTCTCATTCTCATAACAGCTCAATTATGAAAAAGAATTCTAATAAATTCAAACCTCAAGGTCCTACATCTCTTTTAACAAACACTAAAAAAATCCGGACAAATGTCCTATATGTTCAGGGACCCATAATATTTATAATTGCTCAATATTTGCATCTAAAGTACCAAGAGAGCATTATAACATTGTCAAACAGTATAGATGGTGTTTTAATTGCTTGGGCTCGAACCATACTCTCAAATCATGTGGGTCAACAGCTATTTGCCGGTTGTGTAAGAGTCTCAAAGGTAAATATCACACTCTGCTGCACTTCGATGATGACTCATCAAGTTCTAAACCCGACCAACCTCTTAACGTGACTGCTATGATCTCAAATCCGAGTGACTCCTCCTCAATGGTCCTCTTAGCAACTGCTCTGGTCGAGGTTCTCGATGTTCGTTCAAATTACCAACCTATTCGTGTCTAAATTGATATGGCAAGCCAATCGCACTTCATAACTCGAAATTGTGCCAAAATTATCTCTGTCTATAAACGGTATTGGTGAATTATCATCCTCTAGCTTCTCCTCGATTACCTGCTTGCTTAAATCTCACGGAAAATCGCAACCGATTTTTACTATAGAAGCTGCAATATTATCTAAAATTTGTGAGCAAATGCCTACAACATCTCTTCCTCTGCAAAATTGGCCTCACCTCTCGAATCTTAACCTCGCCGATCCAACATACTATATCTCATCTCCCATTGATATGTTGCTTGGGGCGGATATGTTTCCGCAAATCCTTTTGAATAATAAAATAGCTGGTACTGCTCTCAATGAACCACATGCGATAGAAACTGTGCTAGGCTGGATCATCATGGGCACAGCTGAAGTTTCTCATACGACTCCTGTGAAATCCTTCCTATCCCTGAGTGATGCTTCGTTAGAGACATCACTCAAGAAATTTTGGGAGATAAAAGATATCCCTCACACACACGTGCGAACTCCCGAGGATGAAAAATGTGAAGGTATCTTCAAAAACACTCACTATCGACTTTCTACTGGACGATTTGTGGTGTTTCTGCCTTTTCGGGGCCCCAAGCCCTATTTTGGAGACAGTCGACATTTAGCTCTCAAAAGGTTCTACTCTCTCGAACGCAGGCTGAAAATGGATCATCTCCTTCACCAAGAGTATTGTTATTTTATTCAGAATTATCTACTTTGTGATCACATGGAACTCGTAGAAAAACCACGCTCGTTTGAAATCATGTACTATATTCCCCATTTATATGTTCGAAATCTGAATAGCAGTACGGCCAAGCTCCGAGTAGTATTTGATGCTTCCAGTAAGTCAGAGGCTGGTCATTCTCTCAACGATATCCTCCTAACAGGCGAGAAGCTACCAACTTACCTCGTAGGTGTCTTACTGAACTTCAGACTCCATACATTTGTATTCAGTGCGGACATCATGCAAATGTACAGACAAATCCTTGTCCATGAGTCACACCGTGACTACCAAAGGATACTATGGCGATTTTTCTTTGATCACCCTGTACAAGATTTCAGACTGAATACGGTCACTTATGGTCTCTCTTCAGCTCCATACTTAGCCCTCCGCACTTTACTCCAGTTGGCAGATGATGAACAACTCCAATTTCCCCTCGCCTCCAAAGCACTTCGTTCAGATATCTATACCGATGATGTACTCACAGGCTCCTCTTCACTTCAAAGTGCTAAAGATCTGCAATCTCAGTTAATTTCACTTCTAGATAAAGGTGGTTTCCAACTCCGTAAGTGATCAGCTATTCATGAAAACCTCCTCGATAGCTTACCCCCCGTCAACATAGTTCCCTCTCGTTTGACAATCAGGACACTGTTGTACAAATCTTAGGCATGAAATTGTATCCCGCACAAGATTATTTCTCCTATGAAGTAGTTCCTATCGACAATTTATCAACCAAACGAGGCGTATCCATGGGCTTCCTTTCTCCAATAACATTTTTAGCAAAATATCTTATCCAGCACATGTGGAGTTTGGGATTAGACTGGGACGAGTCTCCTCCCGACTATGTCTCAGAACGATGGTTTCAGTACAAGAAACGACTACCGGATATTTGTACGTTGAAAATTCCCAGATTGTTATTACCCTCGAATTTCATAACTTGCGAAATCCACGGATTTGCAGATAGTTCTGAGAAAGGCTATGGGTGCCTGATTCACCTGCGTTTCACTCTCCCGAATGACAGAATCGAAACTAGACTGGTCAATGGTAAATCGAAAGTCGCTCCATTGAAGTCGATTTCGATTCCAAGACTAGAGCTATGCGCAGCTCTTCTCTTGGCTAAGGTCATGCATTACGTAATGACCAAATACTCAACTACGTTGACGTTCTCACATGTGTGTGCATGGACCGACTCTATAATCACTTTGTGGTAGATAAAATCTCCCGCACATAAGTGGCAGACCTTCGTCAGCAATAGAGTCAGTGCCATTTCAGATAAGGTATCCCCTTCGTGTTGGCAACACGTTACATCCCAAGACAACCCTGCCGATTGTGCCTCTCGAGGTATTTCACCTCAAGAACTAATTAACCACCACCTGTGGTTTCATGGCCCTCCTTGGCTACAAAAACCCCGTACCGAATGGCCAAATACTCCTCTGATTGAACCTCCCAATGTATTAGCAGAAGAGAAGAAAATTTCGCTCATCTCTCGAGTTAATCTGGATTCGTTAGATAACCTTTTGGAGAAATTTTCATCCTTGGATAAGGCTCAACGAATTGCCTCGTTGTGTTTGCGTTTCATTAATAATGCACAACATCCTACTAAGAGACAGTGTAATGGCCTTTCTCAGAGGGAGCTCAACGAGGCCCTTCTCGTGTTGGTTAAACGAGTTCAACTACTATCCTTTTCCCAGGAAATATCCAGATTAGAAAATAGATTACCTCTTCTCTCTGGGGACGGTGTCTCAAGAGTAGGAGGTCGGCTCCATTTTTCAGGACTAGAATTCAACCACAAACATCCTGCCCTCCTACCCAATAAACATCGCCTAACAGATTTGATTATTGAAAAAACCCACATCACGCATATGCATCCAGGAATGCAAACACTCCATTTTCTGGTGGTCCAGAATTTTGGATTCTGTCTCCAAGACGTGCCATCACTCGAATGATATCCAAGTGCAACCGATGTTTCCGTGTGAAGCCCAAATCTTTGGAACCTCCAATGGGAGACCTACCCCCTCCTCGCATAAATGAGGTTAAATGCTTCCAAGACGTTGGCGTTGATTATGCTGGGACCTTCAATATAGCTTTGTCGAAGGGTCGAGGAGTAAAATCTCAAAAGGCCTATATTTGCCTCTTTGTATGCTTCACCACGAAAGCCGTACACATTGAATTGGTATCCGATTTAACCTCAGATGCCTTTTTCGCTGCTCTCAGGCGTCTGATAAGTTGCCGTGGATGGTGTACATCATTTTTCAGCGATAATGCTACAAACTTCTGTGGAGCTTATCGCACTCTAGTTCAATTCATGAAAGGCGCATCGGAATCAGAGAAGATTGTCTGGAATTTTTCTCCACCTAGTGGACCTCATTTCAATGGTCTCAGTGAGGCAGGCATGAAATCTATCAAAACACATCTCGTCAAGGTCCTTGGTGATCAAGTTTCAAATTATGAGGAGTTCTATACAGTCCTCGTACAAATTGAAGCCATATTGAACTCTGAATATCAAAATAAAAATATCAGAATGAAAATTGAGTTGATAGTGTGAACAAAGCAGCATAAGTGTGGGAACACTTGTTTCAGCATTGATGAATCTAAAATTTCAAATATAGAAAACAAATTAGAGTACTTATGAATATAAAATATGAATGCAACAATAATAAAACAAATGAAAGATGGGCTGAGGGAAGTGTAAAAAGATCGACGGTACGGTATCATGACTATATTAAGGTATTGAAAGTTGTATGTAATCATATATAGTAAGTACTATATTCATATTTATGAAAAAAATAGTGGTCTTCAATTGTCGTATTGCGGGTTGGATATTGTTAGCTAAATGATACTCAGGTTGTTGGTATAGTTGGTTTATTCCAAGGTTGGAATTGGTATTGGTAGGTTGGTTGGTGACAGGTGCGCTGCTACCTAATTAGATCTATTATACTCTATCTGCTTCTGCTATATCAAGGATTTCTTGTTCATAGCAGCCCCTCAAGATTCCATTCCTTCAGGAATCACAAAATTTTGAGGGGATCTAGTTGTGGTATTTCTTCCACAGTCAGCTGGTGTGTTTCCAGTATGTTCGATCTTATCTGATGTACAGCGTCACACTCCATCAGTATGTGATGGGGTGTTTCTGGTTCTTCCTCGCAGAATCTGCAGGTGCCGTCCACCTGTGAGCCTAGCTCCCTTAGGTGTTCTTTCAGTCTGCGATGCACCGTTAGAAATCCCGTTATTGCTTTGAGACTTCCTTTGCTGAGGTTTATCTCTTGGATCTTTCTCGGTTAAAATTTCCAAGGGAATCTTTAGCCTGCCGCAGTTCTGGAAGTCTTCCTCATTGCCTGGCTTTCAAGGCTCCTTCCGCCATTTCAATTTCGCCGCAGAATGGCTCTGGTCCGATCAGTGGCGTTGAGGCCCCTTGTCGTGCCAAAGTGTCTGCTTTTTCATTCCCCTCCACTCCGATATGCCCGGGCACCCAGAGGAGGAGCACTTTATTGTTACTGCCTAGCTCATTCAATTTGCTTAGGCATTTCCATACCATCTTCGAGCTGTAGTTAGAATAGCTCGACGCTTTGATGGCTGTTTGGCTATCGGATACAATTGCGATATCCTTCTTTCGATATTTCCTGTCTAGGTTGACCTGGATGCATCATTCTATGACGTTTATTTTCGCTTGAAAAATGCTGGGAAATCGTCACATGGATTCGAAGTATCTGGTGCGAGGCCCAAAGACTCCTGCTCCAGTTCCTTCGGGTGCTTTATATTCCCGACCGTATACCAAGTGATGGTGTTCCTTATTCCCAGCGCTTCGGAATTTGAGCTCCATTCGCGATTGTTGCTCAGTTCCACTCGGAAGTTCTTCACAAAACTGAACCTCTTATTGGTCTGTTGGAAGATCGGCGAGGTGTGCAATCTCAGTGGGGGGGGAGCCCCTTGCACTGTGCGTTTTCCCTCTTAGTCCGACCTTGGTTCAAGGTTACGTCCAATCTTGATGATGATGATGATGGATCTCAGCGAGATGAGTTTATGTTTTCGTGAGTAACACAGAGTTGTACAAATATTTTGGCAAAAATCCCCGCATTTATGCCGGCGTCCTAAGTTTTATACGAGATGCCTCGTCAAGTGGTATAGCGTCGCTATCATGACATCGATTTTGACCAATAAAATAAAGAGTACATCTTCCACTAACCAATGAGAAACATTCTGACAACACTTATAATTCACATAGTTGAGTTGTGTTGGTCAACAATCTAGATATCGATCAATTGAAACATATAAAATTCAGCAGAAATGAAACGTTATACCTGCCTTCTATCTTTCGTAACAAATAATATACAGTATGTAAGCCAATGAAATACATAAGACATTGTACCTATATGAATATATGTATTCATGGTATACCTCGTAGAGGGTGTGGAGTGTAACTTTACAACAACTTCAATAAGCGTGTTCTGAACGAGTATGAATTTAGATTTGTTTTTTATTCCGTAACGGGAAAGGAGTTTGACATCTCTGTTGACAGGTGATGAAATGTCACATTTCATGAATTTTTTTTTCTCACGGTAAAAAGGTGAGTACTTTTTTCTCCCGGAATGCACTGTTGATGGTTTTTGTTGTGGTAGTCCAGAAAAATGAGCAAATAACACCGTCTCCGAGAAAGAACTGCAGGTTATTAAGAACTTCAAATTTCACGTTGATAATTTTCAGATTTCAATATAATGTATACTATCTTCTCAATATTGATTCGTCCTCCTCCCTGTCACCGAAAAAATTTGTGTATTATACACGTAAAAAGTATTAGATTTTAGCTCGAGTTAAAATCCACTACTCCCTTATATAATAAATAACTATTTATTTTTTTCGAAAATTCTCTATGTGATGAAAAAATCAATTCTTTCGCAGATTTGTGATTAGGTTTCCTCAATTCAGAATTTCTGTCCACGTCCTGTATATGATGAATATCAATTCGTCATACATCCAAAAAGGGAGAAAATAACTTTTCCACATTTCGTACTCATACGTAAGTTAGTGTTAGCTAAACATCGAATGTTTCAACTATCAATAGTTTTAAAAAAAACTATCGATACTATCGATAATATCGATGGTTGAACATACCATTGATATTTTAAAATTCAAATTGATTCATTGAAATTTAAAGAGGTTTTGTGCAAATGGACTGAAACAAAGAATACAATCAACATTCGCTTTTAATATAAAGAAATGAACAAAAATACAAGAAACGTTTTCTGAAAAAACCTTGATGAAACTTCAAGAAACGTAAAAAAACAGATTAAACTTGAAATTTTCTCAAATACTTGAAACTTCATCACACCTATCACAGGCAAAATATTTAGCATCAAAAAAATTTAACATTTTGTCCAAGGGACATAACTCATTAGGTATCTTCACTTTCAGTCTGTTTCTCCTTCCAGTCATTGTTCTAGTGTCCAACCAGAACATAAACAAGCTGAAGCTGATATGTGTCATGTGTCAATTATCAATAGTTTTGTTCGCGTTCAGAAAATAAACAATCCGTAACCATCAGAAGTATGCGCAGTTCTACAGAGTTCAAAAAATGCGTATAGATCTGTGGAACTACGTATGCTTCTGTCTTCTAATTATTTTCGACTGTTGATCTTCTGAATGCGAGAAAACCTGAAACTATCGATACTATCGGTGAGAACTATCGATTAAACCGATAGTACATTACAATCGACACTATCGATAGTCTATCGATGTTTAGCTAACACTAACCTAAGTTGGTGTTTGTTTTCAGTTTTTATCATCGTTATAATGAAAAAATAGTATTGTTTTTTCAAGTATATATAAGAATATGTTTGATCTTTTTCAGCCAAAATTAAGCAAGGAATAGTTACAACTACAACTTTTTCAATTACAGAGAAAACATTTCAATTCAGAGCTTTAATTTCTTGTCATTGTTGCTTATTCTATTTCGTTTTAAATACCCTGACCTCACTACAAAGAATGTGCTGAACTTCACATATCACATTTGCATAAAAATATAGCCGATTGCATGAATAATCGATGCCATTGATTGATTGATATTTATCTAATGCAAAACGATCTCATTTTGATACAGCTTATACTATTTTCGAATATTCTGTGGGATTCAATTTTTATGTATAAATACTAGGTACTTAGTTATGTCAATGAAGTTGGTATATAGGTACGACATAATATCAATCCGAGGAATGATTGAATACTAAAATAAAAAAAAGTGGTAAGTGGGTCGCCTTGCTCTGGAACTGTACCATATTGTTGAATAAGATGGATCGAATAATGCAGTAATTTTTGTTGGAAAGTAATCCATCAAGGAGATTTCAGAAATCTTTATATTGAAATCAAATCATTGACCCACGTTGATATGTAAGTATATATAACTTATTCAACAGTGTGCATTCCTCACTCTCGCATACTCATCAAAAAATTTTCAAAAACCATAGTTAGCCTATTTTAGATGAATTCAGTACCATATACTGATATAGTTTATTAATACGAGCGTGCGCAAATTAGTACTTTTTCGCACTCATTGGGGTGCGCAAAGTAATACTTTTCCGCACTCAGTGCAGAATTGAGTGTTATCCGCACAACCCAAAAATCTCACTGGGATGGAACATTCATATTCATTTTAGTTGCTGTAGACTATTGTATGCACTATATAAGAAGCCCTTATCCCTTTTACCAGAGATTATACACTCTACTTTTCAACCCTTCTTACCGATATTTGTATTTCACCTCAATATAAATATTAGGAACAAATGATTGATTCTCTATCATAACATTTTATTGATATGTAATTGTTAGTTGTTTAGCTATTTCTATTAAGTTTAACTAAAACTTATTCAATAAATTATCTGATCATGATTTTTAATATAAAAATCATATAGTGTGAATGAGCCAAATAAAATTGAATCAATATTCCTCAATCCATAAATATTTCGAGAAGATACTGTGACAGATTGATTCTATTTACGAAGAGAATTTTTGTACTTACTGATTTTCCAAAATACTCTCCCATTGTTAGCATTACTATACCATTCATTGGTATACCTACGAGCCCATAAAAAATCATGAAGATTCTGGTGAACATAGTAGTAGGTGCTAAGTTTCCATAACCTGCAAAATGGTGAAAACTTTGGAAATACTTATTAGGAAAGGAAAATAGATTGTCTATTATAACTTTGATAGGGAGTTTTAGGAATTAGAGTATGTAGCGGATTGACCTATCACATCGATCTTGGTTTTCCGATACATCATATTGAAGTATAATAATGGGTGGTCTCAATGACGTCCCTATATATTCGTTTACAACTTCAATTATACAGGGTGTCCTTGAAAGGTCTGTACAGAATCTTAGCACATAGTCGTGAGGTCAAAATTAGTCGATTTGAAGCAACATACCTCAGTTCATAATGGCTGAATTCCCGAGATACAGGGTCGTAACGTTAACAAACAAAAATCAAATTTATCAGAATGTGTGAAAATTTTTGAACGTATCACTTCAGAAATTAGTATTGCCATTGGCTTCTTGCGATGCGAAACCCGAATATAAACCCCTTCTCACTGTGCCATCAGAGGGCGCAGACCAATGCACCTCTCTAGAATGACCATACCATTTTTCTCAGTGTAGTTTTTCACTTGGTTAGGTAAGTTGCATTAAATCGGCTCATTTTGACCCCACGACTATGTGCTAAGTTTCTGTACAGACCTTTTAGGAACACCCTGTAGAAGAGGATTCGAATGTTGAGCAATCCTCTGAATTGTTCAATGATGAATAAGTAAGGGTTTGAAGTTCAACTCACTTCAAAAGCCTCAAAAAACTAAAGGAATGCTTGTAAAATTCCAATAGAGAGTAAATATTTGAAAACTCATCAAAACAGAGGAGTCATGTATACAAAATGCTTGAAGAAACGAGAAACAACAATTAAAATGTATGGTAGGTACTGGAAAAGGAATATTCTCAGACATATTCATGAACACAAAAAAATGGATATATAGGTATATAAAAAATACATTGAGAATTTACATTCTCCATGTGATGAAAATATCAATTATTTCTCGGTTTATTCAACAGATAACACCTACTTTCCTGGCTATATGCCACGAAGAATATCGAATTACATCTATTGAACACACACGATGAGAATTTGAAAACAAAATCTTCTGAAGTAGAGAATTTGCATTATCCTTTATATAAAGATATGCATATAATATCATTCTGAATATTCACCAGAAAACATCTTCTTTCTTGGCTATTTGCCACGTCGAACATTGAATTATATCTGTTGAATATCCAAAAAGTGAGCATGAAAAATCAAAATCCTCTGAAATTGAGAATCGAAATTATCTCTCAAATCGAATGGAATGATGTGATGTATCATGTGTGTATTTATAAACTACTCAACACTAATTTCGTCGCACACCAAAATGTCGCCCCTGATATAATGTGAATAACTTTTTTCAGTTTAGAACAATTTGAATTTGGTTCACACTGTTCGATAGCCCAGTCCTTCAGCTATAATCTGGCATTTCATTGAAACATGAGGGTATTCACATAAAATCTCTACATGGTGTTTTCCGACACTGTGCAAAATTTCGGAATATTCAAAAGGCCCTCAAATGGTGAAAAAAATGTTTTTCTCAACTTCGACAACAGAGGCATGAAGATGATTTCATTTCCTCGAGATATTTCGCGAATCAACTTCCTATCTCTCTTATTTACAGAGTGATCTCAAAAAATCAACTTTTTGGTTTTGCACATCAACCGATTTTGGAAATCTTAGGCTCATTTTGAAGATAAAACTTCAGATGAAGAGATCTGAATATCAGAATTGACTCAAGATGGCTATCAAAGATCTAGAGTTTTCTTGAGAGTGACCCAAATCTGGAACGCCCTACGAATCTCGGTTGGGAGGAGAATTGAATGAAAATCAACTTGTTTTCGGAAAAACAATTCATTATGGATGCGTCCATATTTTCCTCGCTCTCAGTACTCAAGAATGTGCGTGAGAAAACACAATTGAAACATGTTCTTGCAAAAACATCAGACCATTTCTCCTCTGTAATGCATGGCCCGTAACCAACGTTACAAGAATCACAGTAAGTGACTGACAAGTCAGGTTAGACGTCGTTTTCGAATCATAAACAGATTTTGATAGTTTCGATGCCGCATCGAACGCCCGACCAGTTGGAACTGATTCCACAAATGAGGGAACAAGGGTTATCTTTTTTCCAAATCGCGGATCTGCTAAACACGACAGTCCGATCCATTCAAAGGGCTTATCTCCGACACGAATTTTTTGTTTATTCGATTCGTTCGACGCATTATTGCGACTGAAAACTTTACGTAATTGGCGAACTGTTTTCGTGAAACTTTAACCATTTTTGAAATGCGTTTTCACAATAAATAAACGTTATTTGCTTGAATACTTCTCCATATTCTTAAATCGCATGTTATGTACGTGACAACTGTTAAAAAAATCACTCTATTGAAAAAATCAAAATCCGTTGCTCTTGTTGGTACACCATTTATAATGAGTCTCAGCTGGTCGGGTTTGTCAGTCACTCATTGTGATTCTTGTAACGTTGGTTACGGCGGCCCATGCATTACAGAGTAGAAATGATCTAATGTTTTTGCAAGAACATGTTTCAATTGTGTTTTTCACGCACAATGCTTGACTACTGAGAGCGAGGAAAATATGGACGCATCCAGAATGAATTGTTTTTCCGAGAACAAGTTGATTTTCATTCAATTCTCCTCCCAACCAAGATTCGAAAGGCGTTCCAGATTTGGGTCACTTTCAAGAAAACTCTAGATCTTTGATAGCCATCTTGGGTCAATTCTGATATTCAGAACCCTTCATCTGAAGTTTTATCTTCAAAATGAGCCTGAGATTTCCAAAATCGATTGACGTAAAAAAAAGTTATGGCTGCAAAACCAAAAAGTTGATTTTTTGAGATCACCCTGTAAACAAGAGAGATAGGAAGTTGATTCGCGAAATATCTCGAGGTAATGAGATCATCTTCATGCCTCTGTTGTCCAAGTTGAGAAAAACATTTTTTCCACCATTTGAGAGCCTTTTGAATATTCCGAAATTTCGCACAGTGTCGGAAAACACCATGTAGAGATTTTATGTGAATACTCTTATGTTTCAATGAAGTACGAGATTATAGCTGAAGGACTGGGCTATCGAACAGTGTGAACCAAATTCAAATTGTTATAAACTGAAAAAAGTTATTCACATTATAACAGAAGCGACATTTTGGTGTGCGACGAAATTAGTGTTGAGTAGTTTATATGAATTCAACTTCACTTCGATATCAAATTGACAGGCACTAACGTTGACTTTCACTATTACAAAATATTTATAAACTTGCATAAACAGATTGATTATCACATTTCAATATTTTTATTGTTTCAGGTGAGTATTAGTATTAGAAGTGTTGATAACTTATAGATGAGGGAAGAATGTTCATCGAATCACATATCATTCCAATTGAAACATATATAGGTAGGTAATGATAATAATATACAGTAACTACGTCGAGATCCGGATTCTTATAATATCGTATATCATGAGTAAAGTCTCACCTATAGTACTGACGACTGTTATCACAAAAAATAGGGAATGATAAAAGTCCCATTTGAAGTCGTGTGGTTCCATACCCATGTTGTAACTGACAGGTTTTCCACAGTACTCCGTCAGTCTGTTGAAAATATAATGAACGCTCTCATTTGGTCCCCTGTAATGGGTCTTCAACAAATCTGGAAATGTAACAATATATTTCATTAGAAAAAGAATGTGGCATGATTCATGGAAATTCATTACTAATTGGAAATATTGCAACTATGGAATCTTGAATTGCTCAAAATATGAAAATCGCCAGATATGTGTCTCCTGATGTCTGAGTAACAGTTTAGTTTCAAGAAATGTCCATGAATTACATCATGTTTTTCCAATAATATAAATCGACGTTTCATTTCCGTAATTAGTGTAATTCATCAGTGAATCTGTATTAATAAAAAAATATAGTAATCTGCAGTGTTTGAACACCCTATAACTCAGTACACTCATTTTATCTAGTGATGATTTGGGTTAAATCTTTATATTCTCTGTCATTCGATAAATAGCTGTTTTTCATGCATTTTAGCATATGTTTATTCAAAGTTCATCATCAGTTGAACATGGTTGAATCAAGAAGTAAGAATTAACTAATTGCATGAAAACTGGTTCACGAGTCAAGTAGGTAATTCAAGTTGTTTATTTTGTATTCCCCATCGTTAATTATTCATCATATACCTACCCAGTTATAAGCCTACATTGTTTTACGCGCAAACTCAATGTTCTTTTTGTTTTGGAATGCACATTATTATACTGTATACCTATCCATAAAAAATAATGAAATCGCCTGAGTCAATGTCATATTTCATGTTTCTGATTTTTACTTCAATGGGTCAGATACAAAAACATTATTTCTACAAGGAATGTTTAAAAAATGCAGATGGTTGAACATAAATGTATCCACATATAACATTCATAATAATAAATTATTATTATCGAACTTGTTTTCCGTAACACAAAGAGGTTAACGATACTCGTGTCCTCTGAAAAATTAGATTTTCGAAGAGATTCATTCAATGTTTCCATAAAACCATACATTGCCCATTTGATTACTGATAACTTTATGCACCCAAATTAATTTTATCTTTCATTAACTATTCGCTAAAAGATGAAGAGCCGCCAGACATACAATTTATTCTTATTATTTTTTCAAAATGTGGCTGAAAATTCACAAAATTCTAGTTGCCTGTTAAAAATTGACTTCGAAAACAAAATGAACATATTAGTCTTATTTTAATAATGTGCATGAGCAGTGGAGGTTACAACACCAACATTTTCATCGGTCTATAAGTACGCTGAGGACTATGCTTGGATCATGACGAAAAGTTTGTAGTTAAAAAAAGGTATTGCATGAAGGCATCAAAGTCCTTAAATAAGAATAAATTCAATGGCGGGTAATGAAAGCAACAGATTAATTAAAAGCGGTGTGCATAAATCCACCTCTATTCAATCCACCTAAACCAAATTTGTTGATTGAATTCACCTTTATCCATACTGAACATTTATAATGGACTAGGCCCTCACAAAAAGATAACCATATACATGCGTTTCGGGCTTTCGGCCCTCATCAGTACGGTGAAAGGAAGTGCAAAGGATAGGCAGCACTTGTTAAAAGAACGGAACAACAAATAATCTCTTCCTAGTCACATTACAGTCCCCTGGATGGTACACAGTACCTATATATATTATATCAACATCAACGATGGGCATCAAGTTGAAATATTCTATAGATATGTGAAAAATCCAAAGGCGGTAGTTGAAGGTTAGGGTCCCCAGATCATAGCTGCATTCTTTTTTAATGATCTAGAGACTTTAGTTTTGTCTACTGGCATCCCTGACACATCCATGGGCGCTACAGAAAAGCATTCCTTCAATAATAAGTATGTACAGGGTATTTACTTGTTGGGGAAGATCATATGGCGAACGAGTTTTGTAATTATGATCCGATTCCATTCAAAATTGGAAGGTATGTGTGGTTTTCCGGGGTTGGAGATGATGATTGTTTCGTCAAACTTGGAAAACTGGTATGAGGTATTTGAAAAAAGTATGATACAAGGTTAGAATGTTGAAACAACTTATTAAATTGAAATTGTTCATTTTTTCATTACAACAGAAGAAACTCATTATTCCTGTTTTGGAACTAGGATCCACAAAGTTCATCCTTATTTCAAACACATAATAGATTCTGACACTAATTGTGTCGTTTTGTATCCCTTGGAGCGCCCGAAAGGAATCCCTGCTATTATGTTCGGAAAACATCGTGCGCCCCTTAGGGAGGATAGAGAGAAAAGGTATAGATATTGGATTATTTTCGAACTTCTATTGAAGATTAAATTAGTTCTTGATGGAAATATTTCCTATGGCACAGAATTCTAAAACCCTATGGACAAACAAGATTTGGTACAGGGTATAAGGATACATGTTCGATAATCATCGATTATCGGAATATCGATGTTAAAACTATCTATCATTGTATCGATATTTTTGATTTATCGATATTATTATGAATACATCGACTTTTTTCCAGGCTCAACTCAAATCAATCTATTTTTTCTCTCAACCAAAGTTTATAGAATCTTCAACCAAATTGAAGCTGCATAAAAACTACCTACCCACGCAATATATTTTCACGCCTGAACGGAAGAGGTGGCGCTTCGATAATCATTTGTTTCGAAGTTTCTTGAAGAATTAAAAAAATTATCGTGACAATTGAATTCATGTATGGAGAATCCCACAAGCCGCGTAATTTTGTCATTATGACAGCGAGAAAGTTTTCCCTAACTTTTCCAGCGACAACAACGGTACCTAACTTTTGAAATCATGACAACCAGTCATAAACGAATGTTTGATGAATTAAATTGTCTCACCGAATTACACTCTAGCTTTTTTTTTTCAGTCGAGGTAAAATTGGCATTTATAATTCGAATTTTGTTGCCATTATAGGTGATTCAACTCAAAAAACTATTTAGTATTTTTTGTCGAATTGCCAGGCAACAAAATTCTCATTGATACATGTCAAGTTTACTTGAACAAAAAAAAAAGCTCTCTAAGCTCGCTAAGTGAAAATACAACCTATATAATAAAGGGTGTCTCAAAAATATTTGCGTATTTTATGCAATGAAAAAAAAAATACTAACAATATTTTTAAGAACATGAATTTATTACCAAAAGTAAGCCTGAACATTGAATTTTTATTTATGGAAGAGAGTATTGGACCGTTTATGTTTTCACACTCTCCTAATCTCGAACTGAAGTTTTCGATCACTCTCTGAAGCATTGCACGAGGAATAGCGTTGATTTCATCTGTTATGTTTTGCTTCAATTCTCTCAAATACTGTGGCAGAGGGGTGTACACCTTACTCTTGGGGTAATCCCATAAGAAAAAATCTACTGGTGTCAAATCGGGACTTCTTGGTGGCCAGTTGATGTCTCCTCTGCGACTGATGACCCTTTCTGGGAATAAATGATGAAGACGCTCCATTGCAATTGAAAATAAACAGTGTTGCCAATCGATTGCCAACTACCTCGTTTTTTCGGAACATGCGTATTGCGCCAGAGGACTGATCCATAAACGAAAATATTTCTGAGACACCCTTTATGAGAAAGAAACATGAAAAATATATTATAAATATTATAGCTATTTTCTGAATATAACGAAACCGTGTAGGGGTAACATAATCGAAATAAATTCATTTTCTCCAATTGATACTTTCATCGATATTTTCGAAATTATATATCGTTAATCGATATATCGATATATGTTGATATATCGATATTTTTCCCAAGCGTAGTAGGGGATTTTATACTAGAAGAAATCGAATTGTATTTTGTGCAAATATCTTCATTGATTCAAATCGCTCCGCTTCAATTCTAGAAAATGAAAATGACTGCAAAATATAAAAATTTGGAATTCAGGTATTCATCAGGTATCTAAATGAACAACATGTACCAAATAAACATAGAAATGCAAGAATTAATTTTCAAAACCGCTACAGATAATTAGATAATGCTATAAGGAATTTATTACAATGTCAATAATAATAACTCAGTTGGGTAATTGCTCTAATTTTTATTTGCATTAATTATACACATCTCAATCGAAGGTATTTTTTCCAATTTTTATTCACCATTTATGGTCAAACCTAGTTCCGTGGAGAAAACTTATGGTATAAAAATATCTCGTCAACCTTATACAGGTGACTCGGATTGTGAGATGAAGATATGAGATCTGTTAGGGTCAATGTAATGACATCATTTTTTATGTGTATCTGATCGGACATAATAAAAAACAATTAAAATGTATCCATAACAGTATAAGACAAAGTATGGGAATGCATGAGAATCAAGAAACATCAATGCTATCAAAATGTGCCTAAATATACGCTGACGCCACTTCCGGAAAAATCGCAAATTTCACAGTAACGAAAAGATTTTTTTTTCCGATTGGCAGCAAATATCAATTTTGCTGACACATATCAATCAGTAAAGTATTACTTTTCCTGCCTAGGCAGCAAAGTGGTTACAGCAAAATTGATAATCCATAAATCTTTTATAATTTCCTTCATATTTCATCCAAGACTTCTCCGGCAACAAATTCAACTCTATATTTTTTGCCACCTCCCTCATTTCTGGAGGTGTAAGTACTTCCAGGTCGCTATCACTGTCCATTATATATTAATTCAAATAATCCGATATTTTTTCGCACAACTGTGTCAGAAATTTCATGAATTGTCAAACTATAGTTTTTGTTAGTGAAGATCGTCATCATAGATCAGTGGAAATTTCTATAAATTTGCAAAACATTCCGAGGTATGGAAAAAAACAGTCATATGATAAACACAAATTCTATGCAGCGGATTATGAGCGGTTAAATAATGATATTGCGAATATTGCCTGGTCTGAACTGTTTTCGTCTCAGATGGCTGATGATTGTTTAAAAATATTCTATGATAGAATTGGACACCTAATCAATAGAAATGTTCCACTTAAGAAAGTCAATGCTGGGTTTCCAGTTTGGTATTCAAGAAATACCATTTCCTTGATCAGAGAAAAAGAAAAATTACATTCCAAATGGAAAAAATATGAAAACCCGGCATATTATACATCTTTTTCTAACCTGAGAAAATCCGTGAAAACATCTATC